GGGGAGGGGAGGGGAGGGGAGGGGAGGGGAGGAGAGCGGTGCAAACTAAACTCTAAGAGTTGAAGGCTGAGTGAGTTAATAGGAAGTTTCCTAATGAAACGACACCCTCCGTGTTGCTACAAAATATTTCATTCTGATTCGCCATCACAGTAACCTGAAATGTAGAAAACAAAGATATTAATGACAGAAATATGGAGCTGGTGTTAAATGTAGAGAGTGAATATTCGATGACCTTAGGGCTCGGCTTTGTTCAAATGCTTCTTGTAAGGTTATGGCTAGATGTGGCTCTAATTCCTAAACATCTTCAAGGCTTTCTGAAACCCTCTGAATTTCTCTGGGGGTGATGGGGTGGGCCCCAGAGCATAGGATCTCCTGTTATCAAAGTGCTGTTTTTTACTTGTCTTAAATTTGCCTCACTGCATTTCACAGGGATGTGGGTATGTCCTCCTGTTTCAGGAAGTGAGGGCCAAGTCAGCCTGACCTCAGCTACTCTGTTAGCAGTTTTATAGCGTGTTCACCATGTCCTGTGTCATATGTCACCAGGTGGTGCCACAAGGGGCTTCAGAGTCACAAAACCACTTTGGTTTGCATCCAAGTCAGCTATCTATTGAAGATCTCGGGCAACCTTCGTAATCTTTCTCAGCCTCTGTTTTCTCATCTTGTAGAACATGGATAATGAGAATACCTACTTCATGAGGTGTCTCCAGGATTAAGTGAGATAAGGCAGGCAAAGGGCTTGGTGTGGAGCCTGGCTGGGGTGAAATCCTGCCCTACACTTAGGCTGCCCCTGGGTGAAACATCAAAATCTTATTTATTTACTTGTTTGGTCTGCGTTCATATCTGTTTGGTGTAGTGTGGGTTAGCTAGTTAGATGACCAACAGAGAAGTTCAGTTTTGTTCTCTTTTTTCCCCCACAATTTAGCATTACCCTATTTGGATTTTGAAACCCAGTTTCCCATGGGAGTGAGTGTCTATTCAAAATAAAATGTACACTTTCTTCCAGAATATTACTGGCTTTTAAATCAAGATCAGACAAGAGTAATATCCATAAAAAGATTCAATGGGTGTTCCAGGGGATCTCAAAAAAAACGTAAGTGAGGAAAACCAGCTAGTCAACTTACTGGATATCTAGTTCCATATTAGAAAAAGAGCATTTGTTGAAATCACTCTCTTTCGAACTTGCTATGGTGATGTCTCTCTTTAAGTTGTTTTTACACCAATGGCCACATTCAATGCCCAGCTCTTCACTGGGGCCACTCAATTCCCCAGACAATATTAATCTAGTCAAAATGGTTTTTTGGGTAGTGCAGCCAGGAGCAAAATCATGTGACCACAGACTGAGCCTAAGGTGGCAGATAAAAAGGAAGAGTCTGTCCCCTGCAGTTTTACTTAAAGTGCCAAGGTTTTGGAAGAAGGCTTTTGCCCGCTCCTTCTGCATCAGCCCCACGATAAGGCCAGTGAAAGATCTGGTCAGGACGGATGAAGACTTGGACTCAGAGGGGGCTCCCAAGACTCCCTGTTTTCTCTTGCATGCAGATGAAATGCATCTCAGGGCATGCAGACCCAGGGACCCTTAAGGACGAGCAGCCGGTGCCCTATTCCCACACACCACTCACCATTGTGAGCGATCAGCCGGTACTGCCTGGCCAGGCACAGCTCCTCCTGCCTCTGCCTCACGATTCTCTGCACCTCCGGGGAAAAGCCGTTCAGGTCACGGGCGAACACGAAGGAGTAGCTGTCAGCGCAGGTGCCATCGAGGTTCAGGAGGCGGCAGGAGTACTGCACAGCATAGGTGTCGTAGTCCGTGTCAATGATCCAGTGGTCATCGTCTGCAAGGCAGAAAGCCACGGGGCCACTGCATCTCCCTCCGCCACTCGGATGTCAAGGAAACTTACTGCCTGGCCCCAGAAGCCAGCCACTTCCCAAAACTGGATTCAGGAGTTAGGAAGCAGGAGACTACAGAGAATTCTGACAGCTCTTAGAAAATTGGGACC